CTGTCCCCAGGCGCTGTGTGGGGCAGAGGACCCCGAGGACATCCGGGCGGCCTCGCAGGCCCAGGCCGAGCGGGTGGCGGCCATGGCCGAGTTCAGCGAGAGCCTCAGCCCTGAGGAGGAGCGAGGTGGCCCCGAGCCGGAGGAAGAGCTCTCCAAGGCCGAGCAGGAGATCGCTGCCCTGGTTGAGCAGGTGGGGACCCAGGTGTCCGGGGGGTTCAGGAGAACCTGGAGGTTGGAGGAACCGTGGTCTCCATGAGGGTCAGGAGAACCTGGGGGTCTGGGAGGACCAAGATCTCCATGGGGTTCAGGAGAACCTGAGGGGCTGGAGAGACCGAGGTCTCTGTGGGGTTCAGGAGAAGCTGGAGTTCAGGGAGAACCTGAGGGTGTGGATGGACAAAGGTCTTCAGGGGATTTTAGGAGAACTTTGGGGGCTGGAGAGACTGTGGTCTCCGTGATGGTCAGGAGAACCTGGAGGTTGGAGGAACCATGGTCTCCATGAGGGTCAGGAGAACCTGGGAGTCTGGGAGGACCAAGATCTCCATGGGGTTCAGGAGAACCTGAGGGGCTGGAGAGACCGAGGTCTCTGTGGGGTTCAGGAGAAGCTGGGGTTCAGGGAGAACCTGAGGGTGTGGATGGACAAAGGTCTTCAGGGGATTTTTAGGAGAACTTTGGGGGCTGGAGAGACTGTGGTCTCCATGGGGGTTCAGGAGAACCTGGAGGTTGGAGGAACCATGGTCTCCATGAGGGTCAGGAGAACCTGGGGGCTGGAAAGACTGTGGTCTCCGTGAGGGTCAGGAGAACCTGGGGGTCTGGAAGAACCTAGGTCTCCATAGGGTTGAGGAGAACCTGGCTGGTTGGGGGTCTGGAGGGGAGACGCGTGGGGAGGTTGTGGGTCTGAGGGACCCAGGTCTCCCGTTTGGCAGTTGACCCCCATCGAACGCTACGCCATGAACTTCCTGGAGGCCTCGCTGGAGGACATCAGCCGGGAGGAGCTGAAGCAGGCAGAGGTGTGGGGCGGAGGACGCTATGGGGTGGGGGGCACCCCTCAGGGGCTCGCTATG